CCTTTCCAGAAGGAAATAATAAGTTGCATCCCACAAAGGGATGATGGAGTAAAATGTCAGCAACATTTGAATGTCACATTACCGGGGAGGTATCCATTCTGCAGACTCTTCGTGGCTGTGTGGTTCCACAGAAGCACCGTTATGGGCCATACCTAGATGGGATGTCCAGTCTATAATGACTGACAAGCTGAGGTTCACCTTTTGAAGTCATCCATCTGCCAATGCATTAGCCACAGCAGCACTGCATTTGTGAAGGACTTCAGAGACTTATTCACATTGCAAACATATGAAGAGAAAGTGCTGTGCTTACTGCACTTTAGCAAGGATCACTCTCAGGATTATAGCCTCTAGTCTTTCAAGAGGTATCTAACAGTTATTATGTTATTTTATATTTTATTCTTTCATTGTTAGTGCCTGGATGACTGGGAACCAGGTGACTTGCCACAGTGACAGATGGCATCATCAGAATCAGTGCAAACCACTCTGTTTATTAGCAAAAAAGGGAAGCCAAGAGCAGCACTATCTAAAAGAAAAGAAGTAGAAAAAAAGACCAGAGAAGGGACAAAACTGGCCTGAGATACAGATGCTTATTATCCCTGACTCAAGGGGGGAAAAAAAGAGAAAACACTAATGCATTTTAATCTCAAAATCCCACCTCACAGAGCCAGCCTACTACCAGAGTGCAGAAACATGATCAAGAGTTAGACGCAGAAGAGCATTATGCTTCATGTAGCTGCCCCCTTGTTCCACTTGTTTGCTCACGTTCCCTTTCCAACAACACTGCCGTTCCCTTCTCTCTTCTGCTGGGCCTTCTTAGAGCTTGCTGGGCCTTCCTCCCCATTGCTACTCTTGGGCCCCTCTCTCTCTTCCAGGTGACTCTGCCACCTTGCCGGGTGTCCCAGGATGAGCCCACTCCATTTGGTTTGCCACAGCTTCTCCTTCTCTGGGATCCAGGAGGACCACTGTGAGAAGGGTTTATAAAAAGTGGCTGCTTTCTTCTTTCCACTGCAATCTCCATAGCTTTGCTTAGCAACCCCTTTGCTTCTCAACTACTGGGACAAGAATGCCCTTTGCAATTCCTTTCATCGCTTGTCCTGCAGGCCGATGCCAGCTGCTGCTCTTTTGGCTCTCACTGCTCCTTCCATGGCCTTCTCCTGTGAAACTCCAGCTGATTGTTTTGCTTCTCCTTCTAGCTACCCCTGCCAGCAGCTGTTCAGTTCAAAGGACCCTTCCCTGTTCTTTCTGTAAGCCCTGCCATTCATTCTGCTGCTTTCAGAGGCCCCTTCTAGGAAGAGCCTGCCCTGGGACCACTGGAGGTACCGTCTGCCCTTTGTAACTGCACGATACTTCCAGCAGTCGATGGAGATGCACATACCAAGCAGCCACACATCTGTCATGAGCCTGGGAATGGCTCTGAAAGATGCAAGGGAAGTTTTTAGGGGCAGACAGAAATAGGTCATAGAGGCTTGCAGGGACTGAAAATACTGAAAACAAGAAAATGAAAGAGAAAGAGCCATGCAAGAGTCAGTGTGTGTATATCCACAGTAAAGGATAGGGGAATGGACTCTCAAGAGGTTTTGGGGGGATTCAGGAAGGTGCTGATCAAGCCTAGGCTTAAAACTGCTCCTGAGAAGAAACCATGTATTGGAGCAAGTTGTAGCATGGAAAGAAAAATTACTTCATATACTATGGAAGAAAAGTAAGTAGCAACAGGGGCTTAAATAAGAAAAATATACTACTCCCAGCTGCAAGATACTTTAGAGGAATCCTGTTGGTAGTATATCTGATGACATTTAGCACTCAGAAAAACTGGAGACTAAAGGCACAGATCACAGCCAGGCACAGTGTGGGCAGACACTGTGTAAACTTCCCCACACAGCTCTGCCAACACATCTCACTCCTAACATGCAACGCCCATAACATCCCCATCCTGGCCACCTCCTTAGAGAGACTAAGGGCCCCGTTTTCAAAAACAGAGTCTAGTTGTGTGTCCACAAAGTTCCTACCTAGACAACTTGACTCACAAGAAAGCCTTAAGCAAAGTCCGTGCATGGTGCAGCTGTGCTCTGAAAGCGCCTGTCAATTTGGTATGATGGAGACCCTATAGCCATTCTCCTGCAGGCCTTTTCATCTGTTTTCATGTGGGGGGTGGTTAACTGCTATCCTTGTAAATGAGTCCTAGGATCTGCAGGCCAAGCTTTGTTCCTTCCAGATTGTGCACTGAAGAAAACTTGCAAAGACCTTAGTCACTAGCATAAAACCCCCTCTGCCACCCGAAAGTAATCACTCTATCCATGAGGCACCAACTAGACTACAATTTAGAGAAATCTGCCATAGGCTTCTCAGCTTTGACGTGCTAACAGAAGCAAATGACTAAACATGTGCTTTCTGCCCAGAAAAGGAAGAGAATAGGATTTTGCAAAACTCCTGGGTGGCGGGGGCTGGTAAGTGTCTTTTTCTAGTCACTTTGCTACTTCTACTTTAATTTCTCGTTGTGACAATTTACTCAGCCATAAATTATTAATACTTACTCTACTTTACAGAATATGCTAAAGTTTAATGAATGAATATTTGTAAAGCTCTTGAAGATGCTTAGCACTATATGCTGGTATATGCAGATGACTGTGCTAAAGGTAGGTGGGAGAGATCACCAGCTGTGAAGTGAGGATGAAGGTCATCCTTCTCCAACAGACCAGCACAAAGACTCTTCACCACCCGTAGGAGCTGTACAGATTTGGAGCTAGTTCACTGCACAGCCCAATTTCCCCCTTACTCAGGGACTAGGGAACACATCTTTCCTCCTCAAACTTAATGTGTATTGCATAGCTGTGCCACTCTTCATAGTCTTGAGAAGGGACTATGGCTCAGTCCGAATGCTCTTCATGCTCCTGCTTTCTCTCCTGCTCTCCCCAAAACATCTGGGCAAGCTGTGTAGGTGGTATGGCCTTTGGGCTTCCTTATGCTGTGAGGGTGGTGACCCTGTCGAGCTGGACCACAATCAGGCCCTGAATGAACAAAAGTTTGCCACGTAACCTGGATGTTGATATTTCAGACTCCGCACCATAATAACGTATGAAACCCAACAGTTTCCTTCAAGCCTTTTCAAAATAAGAATGGAAACATTAAGCTGTAAAGTGACCAGCTGTATGGCCTTCATGGCTCAAAGGAGGCAAGTATTTAATAGACAGATATTCATATTTCATTACAGCACCTACAAACAACATTAATTAGCATTAATCTGTCACTATCTGCTTCTGCCAGTTAACTCCTTTGACCTTCCCTCGTCTGCACCTTGTTACTGTACAATGTCTCATGTTTGTAAGGATAGGAGACTTCAGCTGTTCAAAGCTGACAGAACATAATTTACATTTGGCCTTCATTAAAATGACAGTGAACATCATTGAGACCAAATGTAAAACCCAGATTGGTGGAAGTTATAAAAAATTCAAGTGGCAAGCATTTTTCCTTTTATCTGACAGTTATTATTAAAAAGCCATATGTCATCCTACAACACAGAAAATGTAAGTGTAAGAGACAGCATAAGAGTTCTGCATTATGAATAGAGTTCCTTCCTTCTCCAGACGGACTACTTCCTACAGATGGGACTAAGCAACGTTGGTCCTTTTTCGGAAGACTCTAATTAACCGAGCATTTTCTTTCCTAGTGAGCAGAGCAATCTTGAACGATTCCAGTCCTGGATGCGGTGCCTTAAAAGCAATACTTCTGGCTACAATTGTACAGCTTCAGATGCCTCCCAGAAATGGACCTACTAGGTCCATGCGTGGACCTAGGATTTTGAAATGCCAGGTGCAGATGGTGTGGTACAACCTCACTTACAACAAAACACATGTTTCTCTAGGTAAAAAGAAACTAGAATCTTTACTAGTATATTAGGGGCATAGGGCTGTATCATTCAATTTAAGATCAAGGGAAAAACAAATCTAACTTTATTGGAATGTGCATTCATTTGCTATATCAGACATTACATATGAAAAACACAACAAAGTAGGCAAAAATAATCAAAACATTGTTTCTTTAGTCCTGTAGCCATTAGATTTAATTGTACATCTTTTTCAGATTCATAAATCAAACTCAAGCCTTCTTTAGCATCTGTACAGTGCATCTCATGCTTCACTAAAAGTTAGTCCCATGCCTGAGTAAACATGCACCTCAGTTAATGTTTCCAAACTTGAGTTAATGTTTTTGGTTAGAGTTAAAAACAGTCTGCAGGGCCGTGACATAGGAGCTACATTACCAGGAGAAGCTAATAGATAGCAGAATTGCAGATCAAAGGACAGCTTGATTATTAAGAACATTAAAAAAGGAGAGAGTGTCATTAACACCTGTGAGATGAAGAGTTTAGCAGGAAATAAGCCATGAAGTTGACTCCGTCACTGCTGGCTGAATAGAAATGCTGCTGCCACTGCCAGGCAATTGGTTTTAAACTTTAGACGGACCAGGAATCAAAAGATGGGGGAATTGAACCCCTAAACACCCCAACCTCCCCCCCGCCATCCACCCCTGACTATATTCGCTCATGCACCTAGAGGGAGCATGTGCAACAATGGTATTTGCAGTAGGCCAGATGCCCAGGTATTTAAAGCTGTGTCTGTTTTTAAGGCTTATTCATCAGTAACCCAACTACATACGCTCATCTTTGTTTTTCTAACATGGAAGTCCAAAATATCTATCCTCTTACTGCAGGAGAGAGACATGAAATACCCTGACCTAAAAACCATTTAACCACCTTAGAGACACAGACATTTATAAGCAGGCAATGGAAAAAATGGAATCTCTTAAGGAGGACGTTTTCCAAGATGCTCAAGGTCAGCCTCACTTAGCTGCCGCTAAACATGGGGGTGAAACTCTCACTGACTCCAGCAGAAGCAATTTTCAGCCTAAGCCAAGCCTTCCTTTAGACATCTCATCCTGAAAGTTTTAAAACTTGCAAAGGCCTTAGCTATCAGATAAAAGTGTGGCACAATTTCAGATATACTCACTTCTTTTATCCACAGCAATTTAGGTGGCTGCATTTCTACAGACATCGTTCCCCCAACATAGCTCAAAACGCTGTGCTGAGTTCCATTGATCCTGGCTACTTGACTGGCTGCACGATGGTCCATCCACAGAATGATGTTTCTAGTATGCTCCCCTTACCAAAAGAAAATTTTAAAAAAGAGACAGCTGCTTTAGTCTTGGTTTAATTCTTCATCAATACTAGAAGTTATTTGTTGGTAATCCATTTGGCAATTCCACTTAAGAATACAGAATTTAAATACAGCTCATTTTAATTACAGGGAACCAATATTTAGGGTAAGATTATGGTTGCGCTGAAGCCAGTTTTCAAAAATGCCAAGCCATCACTACTCCAACCAAAGCCAGCAAGAGCTGGAGGGGCTCAAGACCTTTGAAAATTTAGGCTATAAACAATAGCATCTTTCATCCAAAGCAATGCTTAACAAGCAAGTGTATTATATGTATTTAAATCTTAAAATGTACAGACTCCTACTCAAGACAGTGTCAACCTCATAATAAATTCAAGGTACATTAAAGTAGTGAATTCAAATGAATCCAGCCAGCTAGACAGCTAGAGGGACTTATTTCTGCCCTTTCACTATTGTGGGAAGCAACCCCTTTAGCCTTTAAAAAAAAAAAAACATGTATAGTGATAATTTGCTGAAACGTACTCATTGTTGAGGTGGAAGGCCACAGCCCTTGGCAAGACTCCATAACACTTTAGAACAAATGAAGAATATCATATCTCAATTCAGCTACCCAGGGAACATTCGAGAGGTAAAAAGTAATAATCCAACCAACACTCCCAACTCTTGTCTCCTGCTGATAGCACTATATTCCTCAAGTGTATGACACAGCTCCTGATATATACTTAATCCCCAAAGTGCATTAGAAGAAGAGTAACAACTGTAAAATATATTCATATTGCTGACAAATTCACACAAGTGTTGCAGCTGTGAGACTGATTAAACCATGCACTAGAACAACACATGCATACATCATTAGAGAATGTAGTGCAGTATCGACTTTATTTGATGATAATGTTTGGTAAATATTTAAAAAAATATATCTTTCCTTCTTTTCTGGAGAACTCAAAGAAATAAAAAATGGGAATCAAATTTGACTTATGAGGGGCCAAAACAGTTAAGATACAGTTTAAAATAACAGATATGGTCACGGACCATACATATAAGAAAAAATATGATAAAAAATGTAACAGGCAAAGATCTGAGGATAATGATATTATTTTGATAACAGTAGAAGTAGGTGACAAGTCTTAATGTAAAAAAGGACTCTTCGAATTGTGACCGTGACTATAATTAGCGAATGGTGCACAAACCAAATATTAATTAGTAATTGTGCAAACTACCTTTATTACCCAGATTCATGTTTGAAGATTCTTCTGAAGCATTTAGTCAAAAATTGATGCAAATCAAATTCTTTAAACCATTATGCTGACCTCTGCAGTAGCACTAGTTCCCTAATTTAATAGACACTTTAGCTAACAACATAATATAGCTAGAAATAATATCTCAGTCTCACAAGTACAGTAATATGAACAAGCTCACTCTAGTCTACTATCACAGAGGCCTGTAGCCATTAAAACTAGTGGTTCGCAACCTTTTTACACTCAAAGCACGCCTTGGAAAATGCCAGCTTTTAGCTTTCATTCATTTTTTTGTCTAGATAAATAATAGAACAATTTTTCTGTTACAAAGAACTCAGAAAGACTACTGCAGGTCAGAATGCTTTCACAATATCTCTGGCTTTATCTTCTGAATCGTGTGCAAGTATTTGCACATATAACATAACTAATATTGTGCGGCTCCCTGTGGCAGCCTTAAAACAATAGCACGTCATCCCAGGATGGCATGGAGTCCCGGTTGAGAATCACGGAGTTAAACTGTAGTAGTTCCATGCTGTTCAGCTCTCTTTGGAAGCAAGCATGGAAAAAGAGCCCTTTAAAAAAGAAAAAAAGCCCCCCCAAAACAGCACTTGTTCAATCTAAAAGAGGAAAAAAAAAAATTTAAAACAAAGACATCTCTCAGGAAAAAAGCAATATGATGTCAGAGTTAAGCTGAGTGAATATTACTAGGGTACCCAGTATAGTTCTAAACTTAAGTGGTTCTGATCTCAAATTTTTTTCCTGGCATTAGACCTAATGATCAAAATGTAATAAAAATTGCTGTTCTTAAGTGACTTCTATAATTCCACTTCTACAGAATTAAGTCAAATGGGTCGGGGGTCAGGCTAGATGATCTGTTCAGGTCCCTCCTGACCCTAGCTACTATGAAACTATGAAATCCCAGCCTCCGTAAAGTCACCAGCAAACAGCTATCTAACCTTAGGTTTTGTCACGAGGGTCTTACCTTCATAATTGACTGCCAAGGGCCGAAACTGCTTATCCACAACGACAAGTGAGCAAGTGGCATCAAAACCAAGCCCACGAATCCTCTCAGCATCTATGCCACAGACAATTTTCTGTGAAGACACAAGACATCACTGAATACACAAATGCCCACAGACACACACATAACAAGTGTACCGTGGTTTTAGAGAAGAGAGGTTATAAACTGAAGACCCAAGGTCAAAGATTTGGGAAATTCAGTACCTTAAAAATGTGGGTGCTATATATTCCAAGAGTTATGCAAACAATGGAAACCTCTTGGGTCAGTAAAACTGGACTCAAGGCTCATAAAAGGGTTTCTGATGGCCTCCTGGTCCTGCTGCTTCCAGTGCAGAGGGACACAAAAGGGAAAGTAAGTTATGTTAACTCTAGCCTTTTCTGAGGGCCATGTCTCAATTAGGATGTGTTAACTGCACATTCAATGCAAACGTCCACTTAGCATGTGTTTTCTGCATGAACAAGTGCTCTCATAGCGTAGTAAAGTAAGGACTTTTCGAGGGAGATAATACAAGTTCCAGATTCCGGTGCAGGGCCGAGGTTGGGACTGACAATCAGCTGACTGCTGCTTCCAGCCCCAGCATTACCCGAGTCTTGAACTGGCTCTTGTGTGATGCCCAGGCTGGACCGACAATTAGCTGATCATTGATCCCCTCCCCAACACTGACCAGAGCTAGTTCATGACTGCCAGCAGCAGAGACACAGATTGCCCCACAGATCCAGCAATAAGAGAGGATCCAGTAGCAGGAGTGGCACCCTCTTCTGGGCTCAGCTCCACATGCTTCCCTCCACCCACCACCATCGGCAGAGACCTGGCTTGCCCTGGCATGCCACGGACAGGTGCTTCCAGACTTGGCAGTGCTGGGCACACAGCCAGGAAAGCACAAGCGTGTGGCACAGAGGTTGCAAGTCATCATAGGTGGATGTGCAAGCTGCAGCACTCGGTGCCACAGTCGGAGGGGGGCAAGGGGGGGGAAGGACCAGCCTGCTCCAGCCCTGTCAGAGTGCACTGAGATTGAAGTAAGCATTACCGTATGACTGCTCAGAGCACGTTCTAACTCAGTGCAGCATGGTAATGCTTACTACCATCTAAATAAAACACAAGCTAATTGTCCTGTGCAACAAGACCCTGACCAGTTCAGGCAGACTTGGATGGGAGACTCAGGGACAGGTTTGAGGGTGAAAATGTATTTCAAGTCAGAGCCACTTCCAAGCTATTTTGGATGGAAGTATCTCACAGAATTTGTCTAACCCTATTTAGCACGTTAAGCATCAAAGAAAAAAGACTGCCTATAAAACTGATCTGAGGTGCTTAGTAGACAAATATCACTGCAATCCACATTTCCTCCAATGTGCTGATAGGTGTCCCCTAAAACACCAGAGCTCACTACCCCTAAACTTTACGGCAGTTATGAACTTTGCAATTCATAAGAATTGCTGAGAAGAAAATACGTGCACTGACTAAGCAACAAGTGAATTTGCAAGGCTCCTACGAGGTAATCATAAACACGATAGAAAATTAGGGTTGGGAGGGACCTTAGGAGGTCATCTAGTCCAACCCCCTGTTCAAAGCAGGACCTTCCCCAACTAGATCTTGACCTGCTGGCAACACTCCTACCAACGCAGCCCAGGATGCCGTAAGCCTTCTTGGCAACAAGGGCACACTGTTGGCTCATATTCAGCTTATTGTCCACTGTAACCCCAGGGCCTTTTCTGCAGAGCCACTGCCCAGCCAGTCAGCCCCAGCCTGTACCGGTGCATGGGATTGTTCTGTCCTAAGTGCAGGACTTTGCCCTTGTCCTTGTTGAACCTCATGAGATTCCTTTCAGCCCAATCCTCCAATCTGTAATGAAGCAACAAACTGTCACTGCTCGGTGACAATACAACTGTTTAATTAGCAACATATGCAAAAAAATGTCTTTAGAGCTTCTCTGTACCAAGGAATCATATTTGGTCCCTTTCTACAGGCCCTGGAAGGTCTTTAGTGCTAAGAGATTATATTTTAGGGATATGAAGGAGGCCCGAGGGCAACGGCAAAGCCATTTACAATGAAAAAACATTAAGCGGGCCTAGTTAAAGGGCCCCTGTTTTGTTTTAGTCTCCATCTAGTTGCTTCCCCCTCCCCCTGCATCCCTTTTCTTTCCTCCTCCTCTCACCTCCTCTATCTCAGGGCACTACAGAGCCATGCTCATTAATGTTTGAAAAGGCTGATCAATAACAAGAGAATGGTGAACTGTCCATCTGCAAATTACCAGGCATCGCATGAATATTTAAAAAGCCAACCTCAGAACATGGAGCAGTCTGGGGCTGGAGCTTTTTTAAGAGGAATAAAAGGACCTTTACATACTGCCAGGATGCATAAGAAAGGTTCCTACCCAAAGGACACAACAGACGAGAAAGCAGTGCTCCCTGATGTATTCAGTGTTGCAAAGTTTACTTGAGTCTTGCATTTCATAAAGTAGCAGAATGCATACAAGCATGAATGCTATTCTTATACCTAACACTTATTTTATTTGCATACTGCCCAAAGACATTAATTAGGATCAGGAGCTCATTGTGCCAGGTATCATCTCTTCAAGAAGGGAACTTAAAATTTTTCAGCCCTTGTTAAGGTGGAGAAAGATATCACAGAAGTCCTGTTTGGCCCCAGTGAATCACAGCTGCTCATCTTTAATTCAAGTCAAAGGGTGCAGACAGAAGTGACATTTGTCACATGATCAGCCCCTGGAAAACACTCTACAGCCACGTCCTGACACATGCACACAGCTGCAGAGAGCTTTAAAAGTGGCAGATCGCAGGAAAAGTTAAGCCTCCTCAAATAAGGTATCAGATGAAGGTGCTCCACTTTAACCCTAGGGGACACTAGTTCCCTAAGTCACTCTAATTTGTCCTGTGATTGGGGCTGGGATCCCCTGGGGCTGTCAGCATGAAGGAAGGGGAGACAGGTAAGGGGGAAGCCAACAGCAGCAAGCTGTTGGCTGGTGTTTGCCCGACCTGAGCTGGAGCAGGGAGGGAGCGGATCAGAGCCCCCCCTGCATCATGCCCCCCTGGCAGCCTCCTCCTCCAGCTTAGACCAAGCGAACCCCAGCCAGCTGCCAACAGTGCCAGAGCTGGGACAGAGGGAGAAGAGCTGGACTGGAGAGAGGGGCAGCTCCTTGGCTGGGGAGAGGGGCATCTTCTCATTTGGCTGCTCACCTACAAGCACAATCCCCGCCCCACAACCCAACAGAAGATCCTCTGTTGGGTTGCAGGGAGCACTAACTCATGGGACTTTATGTAAAGTACCATAAGTTAGAGCAGGGGCCTGCATGTCTGTCAGTACCCAATATGCCAGCAAGCTTTGAGCAACCTTGACTCCCAAGAGTAAGGCTTCTCTTAAGGCTAAGATATAGACCAATGAATCAATATCTCAGACTTGGTCCTTCATTCACTGAGGTCAATAGCAAACCTTCCATTCACACTAATGCAGAAGCCGGGCCCTGGGTTCTATTTCCAGCAATACAAATTTGGTTTGTGACCCTGGACAAGTCATTTCCATCTCTATGGCTCTCAATCTCCTCTCCCCCCTGCCACCCCTCATTTTGGAAAACAAGGATTGTTTTGTTACCATCATCTGTATTTGGGAAGTACCCTTGTGCTAAAATATTATTACAGCTTGGCAGAATACAGCAGGCACAACTGGACAGGAGGCCAAGGGCACCAGCTGGCAGCCTGCATCTCATTTTACCAGCTGAAGTACAGCCTGCATCGGCTATCCCTTCAGCTCAGTCCCCCACCTACCTTTGTCACTGTGCAACAAGCAGCCCAGATGTCATCAGAGGACTGCTCATAGTAGTCTGGTTGGGGTTCCCAAATTTGGATTGGCTGATCCGCATGCGCCACTACTGTCCCAAATTGGTCTACCAAAGCCGCACGGACACTTGCTGTTCCAACATCAATTCCAACATAGTAATTTACCAGGTCCTGCTTGCTGCTGTGCATTTTCAATAACCCTGTAAAGCTGCAAGAGGGGAAAAAAAATCTGGTTTAAAACCACATGTATAAAGTGATGAAGAAAAGCTGCATGACATGAAACAGAGTGCAGGTGTCATGTAGGCACTTTTGAGCATTTGAGATTAAAGGTGAACAATATATTTGAAAGTCTTCATTTGAACTTGTAAAATGAATTTGCTTATGCAGCCCCTGTAGTATGAAAGCTGTTTTTGTTCAATTATTTTTGTCTATGAGCTGTACTGGTATAAATGTTCCTGGAAAGCACATTGCCAATTTGCATGCAGGAGTATGCTTAATAGGAATGTTTGATCACGCATCCAATCAGGGAACAGGCATAATACCCTATGACAAAGCTGATTGATCACAAGTACCGAATTTGCCTAGTAAATATTTGTAGAATTAAAGCAAATTCACAAAGGAATTTGTTGAATACTAAAAAGAAACTAAAAGTTGAAAACTAAAAGAGAATTAAGAGAATAAAAGAGAATTTGGGGTTACTTAACCCCGGCGCTCTTTCCTGCCTGGAGCAGGGGGTCGGACCCGATGATCTACCAGGTCCCTTCTGACCCTAGAAATCTATGAATCTATAAGCTTATTGTTTAAATTATTCACTATTAGTTGTTCACTGAGCTCTATGACATTGTAAAAGCTGACAAAAATCACTGTTTTTAATTTCTCACAGATTGCCCTTAATTAATTATTAATATTTATGTATTGGTCAAGTTGAGAGAACAGATAAATAATAGTTGATACTAAGTGTTTTGAAGGTTTAGACAAGCACCCAAAAGTTTGTTCAGATGCTGAAAGAAATAAAGCTGCTGAAGCCTGCAAATTTGAACTGACATTTATTTTCTAATTTTTTGAATGTAACCCAATCACACATCAAGTTTTGGTACATGCTGTTTCTATAACACACCAAAATAGCCTAACTTAAAAAAAAAAAAAAGAAGTCAGATACAAAATCTTCTCGCTGAGAAATAGCAGTGGTGTTGTTTGTGATTGAGAGTTATCTGGTTTTCATTTTCCCCGTGCAGTCATGTTCTGCATATCCATCCAATTATACTTCCTTTACCAATGCCTCCCCGTTATTTATTTAATAGGATTTTATAACTGTCACAAACACGGCCGCAGAGAGCACTGAGTTTCTCCCCACTGTGCTGTTACTTGTCCACGAAACAAATCAAGGTTGTCCTGGGATAGCTCCTACCCCAGTGAGCCTCGGATCCACTTTCCTTAACCAGACCCTGCAGCTGAGGTGAGGGAATCCCTGGCAGCCTCGGTGGGCATCCCATTGGGTTATGGAAGAATATTTTAGCTTGGGCTTGCCTGGAATATCATGTGCCTAAAAATTACAGGCAATCAGTAAGGAGCCAAACGACAAAAAGGTTTATTACCCAGGCTACAAGGATAAGGCAAACTTAAAACTGACTACAGATTTGGAAACAGAAAAATAAAACCAGAAAGTGCTTTACCCTCTCATCTAGTTATACCTCAGCCTTCCTGAGACATCAGCCTTCTTGCTGATTTATGTCAGCCCTGATTGATGGGGTCTCTGACCCTTCCTAGCCCACCGCTAACTGCCTAACTCCTTCCAACCAACCTGCTCACCAGCACTTGCAACAGTCAGCGGGATTGTCTAAAAAATTCTGTTCTGCCTGCTGTGGCATTTCTTTAGCCGGATGGGCCATTCCTAACCATAATCGAAGCCATAAAGATCATACATAGACAGCACAACATAAACTATACAGAGATAACAGTAATATATGGATACGGATAATATTGGCTTTCCAACAAAACCACACATGCCATATCAGTATAGTAAAACACAAGAAAACATTCATGGCATGCTGCAAACCCCCAAAACATAATGGGGTTCATGACAATAAGGATAGAAAGAAAAACATTCATTCAACTGCTCTTCTTATTTTGCCGTCACTTATACTTGGACAATTTGGTAAGTGTTTAGACAGCAGAAATGTGGCCATAAACCGACAGCCCAAGCTATGCAAGTCTGTTTACATGTATGCCCCTGCTCCCAATGGATGGTCACAAGAACAGATCAATACCACAATAGGCAGAGAAAATCAATGTATCAAGGCAATCCAGAACTGTAGGGAACACACCACCTTGATCAAGGATCCTTCCCGGAGCATCCTACCAACAGCCCCATTTCTGTCCCACCAAGCAGAGTCCAGCTTGAGTGCCTTTGCGAGCATAGGGATGCGGCTTCTCACAGGCACAGGACACAGCCATTTACAGCCTTAGTCATTAAAAATCAAGAAATTACATTCTTCCCACAAGCCAACTAGAAACCAGCATACATGATGACACTAGCTCCACTGGTTCTCAATAGGATGCTCTGCTCAGTGCTCACAAAGGGTCTGATCTGGCACGGTTATAGTCAAGGGAAGTAGGATTAGACTTTAAGGCACCAATACTTCAAAGACTTGCATACATCAATAACTTTAAAGCATGTGAGTAATCCTCTGCTACCCAATGAGACTACTCACATGTTTCAAATTAAGCATGTGTGTCATTCTTAGGAGGAATAAGACTTCGGTGGCCAGGTGCCTTTTGGACCAAGTTCCAGTGAGCAGTCGCACACTAAACCAGTGGGTGGGATAAACAATAGGGCTGTGACAAGCTTAGGGTGCTTATTCAATTTTGAGGAGATTCAGTCCGATTTGGTGGCCAAATCTCCAAATCCAAATCGAATCATGGTACCAATTAAGAGGTCCGAATCGATTCAAAGCTCTCCGAATCGATTTGGAAAAGATTCAGAGAGCTTCAGCGCTTCGGGCAGTCCCCGCTCACTGCCGCAGGGAACTGGATCCGGACTCCATGCTGTATGTAGGAGCAGGGGAGGGGAGGGCTGGAGGAGTGGGGGCGTGGAGGAGGAGGGAGGGGCCCATGAGGGACCCCTGCCAGGTCCCATCCCCTGCCTGCTCCCCCAGCACCCCTGTGTGCCCCCTGACCCCTGCCTGCTGTCCCAGCTCCCCACCCCGCAATGGCTTCTCTGCCCACCCCAGCTCCTGGCCCTTTAAAAGAAAAACAAAAAACCCCCTGAACTCACCAGCTCCTGCAGCAGCCTTCGGGCTTTTGGGGGCTCATGGAAGAGCCCCCCATGCAGTGTGGGGCAGTGGAGGGCAGCAGGGATTGCCCCCCCCCGCTGGGCAGGAGCCGGTGAGTCTGAAGGGGGTTATTTTTTTTAAAGGGTCGGTAGCTGGGGCAGGGCAGCCATGGAGGGGCTGTGGGAGTGGGCAGGGGTTGGGGGGCTCATGGCAGAGCCCCCATATGGCATGGGGTAGTGGGGGGCAGCAGGTATTGCCCCCGCACCTGGCAGCAGCCGGCAAGTGCAGGCTTTTTATTTAAACAACCAGGAGTTGGGGCGGCTGATTTGGCAGCAGCTGAATCTCTGAATCAGATTAGGCCGAATCAATTCGGGACAGTGATTTGAATCACCGAATCGGATCATTGGCCCCCAAATCAGCCGAATCCAAATCCAAAGCTATACTAGCCACTTCACACAGGCCTAATAAACACCCTGTAGAAACCTCACTAGCACAAAGAGCAAGGGACTTGGGAATATTTGGCATCTTACCGCTGCTTCTGAAGTTCCACTGGGCAGAAGCAGCTTGGACAGTACTATACAGAGGTCCTGTTAAGTACAAACAACAACTGATCAAATATAATCGTGAAGGTGGATTTAATACTCAAATAACAGTCTAACACATAAGGGCACTAGCAAGAAATCTGAATTTATTTCCTTCCCCTGAGTGACAAAGGTTAAATACTCTTGTCACATTACAGAGGAAAATATTTAATGACTTCAGCGATTATTATACTAGCAAATTGCCCATCACGAATGATGCTGGGTGGGCGGGCATAGAGTGCCACCTCCCAATACCCCGTGCCGTCACTGCCTCCCAGGAGCTGGGGGGGGAAGGGGGAAGCTTGCATGTGGCACCTGGCACCGGCACCCACCACCCAGCACTGCTGC